GGGGGGGGTTGTTGCATCAGTCTGACAGACAGACAGACAGACGGCCAAACATACAGACGGACAGACACACAGACAGACAGACGGACGGACCTGCAGACAAACAGACAGAAAGACAGACACACACAGACACACAGACGGACAGACGGATAGATGGACACAAACACACAGAAAGACACAGACGGACGAACAAACAGACAGAAAGACAGACACACGGACACTCAGACGTACAGACAGACACACAGACAAACAAACACACACAGACGGACAGACAGGGTGCATTTGGTGCTGATCTGGTGTCTCAGGAGCTGAGGGGTAGGGGGGGGGGTTATACGGGTGAGGTCGGGGAGGGACTAAGAGGGGAGGTTTGATGTGAGGTTTTGTTGGGTAGGAGGAGGGAGGAGGGGGGGAGGAGGTTCCTTTTGGATCAGTAACTACAGATGTGTTCACCGATTTCATGCTTTCATTTTGGAATCGATTTTTTCACGTTTGCCTCTTCTATCCGCCAAATGTAGTCTTTTGAAAAACATGTAAATACATTTTGCGATTCTGAAGGCCGGCTGTGTATTTGTTTACCCGCACTCACCATGGGGAAGTGGAAGTAGGATTTCAAACAGGATAATTATTTTGGTTTTGTATAATTATTTTACAGTTTGAGGTAACGATTAAAAGAAAAAAATCCACATTTCTTTACTGCACACCTTTGAAACACCCTTTAAAGCATAAATAATTAATTAATTAGACCCCCCCCTCCCCAAAAACCGCAAATCCTTTTTTCTCCTCTAAGAGCAGTTCACTAGCCAAGTTTAAAAGCACGGCACAGCAGTGCAGAGCATTCTCAAAATCAGGTGTGTTTGGTAGCATTAGTATCAGGATAGTTGATGTTATTTAAAAAAACGGGAAATTATGTAAGTGAAATTAAATGTGTGTCTTCTTATTTTGTTATCTCAGAGGCAAACCAACAGTAGATTACAGAACGGTCAGATTGGTCAGTGTGGTCAATGTATGATCAGTATGTGGTCAGTATGGTTAGGTTGCTCAGTATGGTTAGTATATGGTCAGTATGGTCATTATAGTCAGCATGATAGTCAGTATAATGGTCACTACGATGGTCAGTATAACGGTCAGTATATGGTCAGTATAGTCATTATAGTCAACATGATAGTATAATGTTCACTACGATGGTAGGTATAACGGCCACTACGATGGTCAGTATAACGGCCAGTATATGGCCAGTATAGTCATTATAGTCAACATGATAGTATAATGTTCACTACGATGGTAGGTATAACGGCCACTACGATGGTTAGTATAACGGTCAGTATATGGCCAGTATAGTCATTATAGGCAACGTGATAGTCAGTATAATGGTCACTACGATGGTCAATCTAACGGTCAGTACGCTCACGTGTTGTTGTATCCGGGGTGGTCCAGGTCGTGGCAGACGGCGGCGGTGAGCAGTACCCCCAGGTCCTCCACGGCCATGCGCTCCCACAGGCGGCACAGGTGAATCATGCCGTACATCATCTGACTCACGCAGAAACAGTGGCGGAAGTTGTGGAACGGGTTGTTGCGGTAGTTCTCCTGGACGCACAACTGGACGGGGGCGGGAGGAAATACATGTAAATACATACGTGAGGTAGAAAACAGTGAGGAAATATAAAGGAAATACGAGGCAAACATTAAGGACATAATAAGGAAATACAAGTACTTGTGGTACAAGTTGTCACCGTAGTCCTCATGGGCGCAGAGCTGGAGGAGGGAGGAAATAAATACAAAACAAATACAAAGGAAATACAAAGGAAATACAAAACAAATACAAAGGAAATACAAAACAAATA